CCGAAGACCGTGGCCAGTGTAAGCCCGGCCTGCCTGGGGGCTGTGGCCCCGGGAGGCTCCATGATATGGGTGTGGAGGTGGGGGAGGGGGAGGGGACTGGTGGTCCTGGCCACCCGAGGCCTGTCCAAGGGCACTTGGCCCAGCACTGCAGGATCCTCTGAGCGCCAGCAGCTTAACAGGGGCCCCCCAGGGAGTGTCTGGGACAGGCTGAGGGCCTAGTGAGGGGGAGCTTTCATATGTGACTAAGGCACAGAAGAGATGGGCCTTGGGGCCAGACGAGGCAGGACACCAGGCCCTGTTTGGATACGGGGCCAGAGAGAGGAGTTCCCCATCTCCTGGCTCCCCGCCACATGCCCCATCCCTCCCTCCTCCCTCCTGGAGGACTGTGCTCCTCCGGAAGCTGGAAGCTGGTCTGAAATGCGGAGACCAGACCCTCCCCAGGAAACAGGAGGGAGCAGCCCCAGGGAGAGAGACCAGGATCCAGCAGAGGTGCTGACTGCTCAGCCTGGGAAGGAGGGGTGGGAACCCCTGACCCTTTGAGTAGCTGGGAAGCAAGGGCTCTACCCAAAATGCTCTCAAGAGGAAAGACCGCAAGTGGGAGGGCAGTGTGGGTGGCTGGCTGTCTTCGGCAGGCCAGGAGGAAGGGGCATGAGGCAGGCAGAAGGTGCAGCCACAGAGGACACTCAGGAGCCCAGATGCACCTGAGCACCCTTCTGAGGTGGGACCCATGGCTCCTGGTGTCTGGCTCTGATCCCTGCAGCGTGCCAGTTAGGCCTGGGTCAGGAGGAAGGTCCACAGAGAGCATCCGTGTTCCCTCCTCCCTCCTCCTGCCCAGGGTGAGGCTAATCTAGCATCAGACAAGGGGACACGGGAGGGAGCAGGCGGCAGAGCCCGGGCAGAGTATTGCACGGTGTGTGGGGGAGGGGCTGAGAAGGCTGCAGCTGCTGGTCCACAACACAAGCGTCTGGGCCTGGGCACGGCTGGTCCCAACATGCTGCCGCCAAAGGACGAGCCGCAGGGGCATGGGAGTCGCTCCCACTGTCCTCTGCCCGTCGTCCGGGCAGTAGAGCCTTGGCCTTGTATAAATATTCCTGAAGGCTCCTGGGTGAGCCTGGGCCCTCCTCTGGGCAGACAGCATCTGGCTGTTCCTCTTGAAGCGATATGTGTTTCTGGTCCAATAAATTAAAGGGCACTGCCGAAGCTGTGGCAGCCTGCCTCCCAGCCTGGACATGAGGCTGGAGGAGGGGCACACCTTGCCCTGGGCCAAGGTCCCAGTCCTTCCCCACCAGCAGCCGCACCTAGAACTCGTCATCAGAGCTGAGCAGGAGAGTCTTCTCGTTGTCCCGGGCGCCAGTGAGACTGTGGGAGCGCGAGAGGCCGTGGGCACCCCCGCGCCAGGTGGGCCCGGGCTCCAGGGTGGACTGCTGCGTGTACTGCTGGTAGGCGGGCGAGAAGTTGTGGATGGCATCCTGCACGATGTCGTGCGGGTTCATGGTCTCCTTGAGGCTGCTGGAGATGCTCTTCATGGGGGCGCAGCGGCCTGCAGGGCGGGAGGTGGGGGTGAGGGGCCCAGGCAGCGGGAGGTAGGGCAGCCTGGCCCCCTGCCCCTGGTCCCGGGACCGAACCCCCTGCCCCAAGGCTGTGTCATCTAACCAACCCCTCCTGGGACAGAGAATGGGGTCCCAGACATGAGAAGGGACAAGCAAAGAAATGGCTCCTTTGGCGGGGTGCAGAGTGGAGCGCACCCCCGGGGAGAAGGTAAGCAGCCACCTGGGAAAGTCCGGCAGGTGGGAAGGGAGCTGGGGTGGAGACTGGCATGCTGCAGGCGTGAGCCCGAGCACCGCGGGGAGGCCAAGACAAGCTCTGCGCCAACTGGAGACAGGGAGTGGAGGGGAGGGGCCCAGGCTCCACGGCGCTGGCCCAGGCCCCTCTCGCCTGTGGGGTGCTCCCCTTCACTCTGGGGAGTGGACCAGGGACCCGCTCCATCAGGACAGGCCGACAGGGGCCTGGACCCACAACGGAGCAGACATCTTGGCTCTGACAGGGCAGGGGCCACCTGACTTGAGGTGCTTCCTCGTAATTCCCTAACAAATCATCCCCAAGGGCTCTGGGGGGGGCAGAAATGGCCCAGGCCCCCAAACCGAGATGGAAGGGGTGAGCCCGACTCTGCTCCCAGGTCTTCAGACTCAAGCTTGCATGCTCTTTTCCCCTTCACACTCTTGGCCACGGAACAGAACTCAACTCCCCAATTCCCCACTAACAGGCACCGTGCCCCCAGACAGTGCAGGGCATGTTCCAGGACAATGAGAGACCAGGACGGAAACAGGAAAGCTCTACGGAGGGCAGCCCTTGGAGGCGAGTGCTCTGGGCTCTGCCGCCCAGGGGTGCCGGGGGGGGGGGAGGAGGCGGGGACACAGCGAAGGAGCTTGGGAGACACACATGCTGGTGACAGGGACCAGGACAGACGTGCAGGACAGACGTGCAGACTGAGAGCAGAACCTACCGTAAGGGCCGTATGTCGGCACTGCCCGCGGCCAGACCCGGGGCAAAAGCGGGGCAGGGGGAGGGGGAGAGGAGCCAGAGAAACAGAGAAGACGAGACAGCTGAGTGAACGCCTCGTGCCCACCACCGAGGCCAGCACCGCACCACGCACCCTGCCCACCCCGCCCCAGGCCCTGCTGGCACCCAGGCAGCCCACTGTCCCCTGGGGGCCTGGGGGGCGTGCCCACCTAGGAGACTCGTCCTTCGGGGCTCACGCTTTCTTCTGGTGGGGGACCAAGAGTGGACCCCCAGAACGCTGGTCGGAGTTCCACCTCCGCGCTGAAGTAGGGACCGCCCACCCCACTTCTCCTCAGGCTTGGCTAGAACTGCTGAGCCTGTGTTGCCTGCTTTACAAACCTCACAACACTCCAGAGACGGGACATGGAGGAGGGGGCAGGTGATGTGTACTGACCACACCACAGCTTTGCACCCAACCCCGACGGGCTGAGAGGGGCTGGGCGTCGCGGTCAGTGGGTGGACAACCGGCCTGGGACCAGCACAGTGGTGGACAAGGGCTCTCAGCACCTTGGCTGGGCTGGGCTGGGCTGGGATCCCCACTACAGCTGGATGCCTGACAACGTTGTTTCTGGCTGGAGCTGGATGTGTCTGGGGGCAGTGGACAGGAAGACAGCCCAGGCAACCGCGGAGAGCCTCTGCAGGGCCACTAGTGCAGAAGCGCCAGCTTGAACCCTGTTAAACCTCAAGGGTGTAGAAAGGGTTCTTGGCCACGGCCTCAGACTCCTGGCATAAGGGTGACTTTCCCAAGGGCAGAGGGTGTCAGGACCAGGTCGAAGGGACATCATCCTCAACACTGGGAGGGTGTCAGCCAGATCCTTCCAACTGGGGGCCTGGTGGGAAGCAGGTGGGATGCCAGCCGGCAGCGGTGAGCCCTGGCCAGTACAGCGCCCAGCACTAAGTGTAGAATCCAAACCGGAAAAAGTACCTAGAGTGCCCAGGCAGCAAGTGTCAGGTGCCCAAGAGTCGCGAGGCCTGGAGGGTGATTCAGTCCACATGCTTCCAGCAGCCTAGGGTATTTTAAGGCCTCTTCCCAACCAGGGAAAGAACATGGCAGGTAGGGCGAGAGGTGGGGGCCCGAGGAGCCCCACACAGGCCAGGCCAGGACAGGGCTTCTACACTCTGCTCAGCACGCCGCTCCCCAGGGCCCAAGGTGGGCACAGGTGGTGGGCCTGGGCAAGTGCATCCTGCTTTCAGCCCCACAGGCAAGGAGCTGGCAGCAGCCAAACCCCGGGGTGGATGTGTCAGACCAGGAGGCTTCCTCCTCCCCAGCCCCCCGCCCCCCAACGGGGTGAGTCAGTTCAGGCAGCCCAAGCCTCCTCTTCCTCCGCACCCCCTGAGCATCCCCTCTCTGCCCAGCAGCAGCCAGAGGTACACCCCAGCCCCTGCGTTTCCAGCCAGCAAGTTAGAATCACCTGGGGATCTGTCAGCACATCCTGCCAGGCCCAAACCCAGGCCAATTATGCAGAATCTCTGAGGGTGGGGCCTGGACAGCAAGGACTTCTAAGACTCTCCAGGGCATCTTAATATACAACCGGGGTTGCCAACTGCTGTTCTAACAAAGCGAAGATTAGCAGATGTAAAAAAAAAGCTGTTAAAAGCTATTACCATCTGAGTCTGTTTCTTAGAAGGGATCAGGTTAAAAAAAAAAAAAAAAAAGAGCTTTGGAGACAAGGGAATTACAGGACAAAATGGACAACAGTGTTCGATGTCAGGAACCCTTAGGAACTTGTTTATTCTAGGGTCTCTGTCCTGACCTTCCCATGGGGATATTGTGCTATATCATCTCCATACTCCAGATCTGCTGCAAGAGGCAGGTGGGTGTAGCTTCCAGGACCAGTCCCTGACCCTGACAACTTGTGACAGGGGACAGGGGAGCCTGGACCTCTGTGGCCCCTTTCCTACACCTAGGATCCCTGACCTGACCCATCAACACCTGAAGGACCCTGGGAGGCAGGAGGGGCCCTGGGGCGGGGCCGGGAAGCACCCTTCCTACTGCGGGGGTCGACTCCAGGACCCTGGCTCATACCTTGTGCGTCCAGCCTCTTGTCAGCATAGACCTTGTAGGTGAAGGCGTGCCGCAGGGCCAGAGCTGCAAAGAACATCTCCACGCAGATGATGAAGTCCTGGTAGCCAGCAGCCACGGTGCCCTCACCCACCGACACGCGGGCCGAGTGGATCTTGGGGATGGCCCCGCACTTCTCCAGGATGGCCAGGAGCATGCCTGGAAAGGGAGGTGTGGAAGGGGAGGCATGGGCATCTGGTCCCAGACTGGACCCCCTTCCCCATCTCCCTTCCTCCTTATAGCCCCCCAAATGCCACACTCCCCAGGGAGGTTGGAAGCAGGGTCCACGGTTACTCCTGTTGGGCAGGGATGCTGACACAAGCCAAGGCCTCAGGGAAACCACACTCCCCAGGTCCTGGCTGGACACCATCTGGATTGGATCCCCCTGTCCAGGAAGGAGTCCCGCCCAAGGTCATGGCTCCTGTGAAAGGCCCCTGAGGGCCCAGACGTCACACCCCACAGGTGCTCAGTGGACAGAGGTCCCTTTGAGCTCCAAGCCAGGATCGTCTAGGGACAGCCCCATGGCCTGGGCCCTCGGGGCACTGGGGACGGTGGGCAAGAGGAAGAGGACAAGGCTTAGGGGACAGAGAGGCACAGGCCAGCCTCACAGGGGCTAGGAGGAGGCTCACCTTGCCAGAAGGAGAGAAAGATGACAGACTTGACCATGAAGAACTTGAGGACAGGGCTGTAAGGGCTGAGCAGCTCCCGAGTGGCAAAGTAGAACAGGAAGAGGGCGTAGAGGGCCAGGCTGACGGAGATGTTATAGATGATGGTCACGTAGAGGTAGCCGCTGGTGGCGCTGCGGGAACGGGGAGCATATTCTCTGGCTTGAACTGACCCTTCTGCGGGACAAGGGGCCCCCTTCCCCGCTTTGCCCTGCCCACATGCCACTCTGCACAGCTCTCAGCAATGCTCCCCGAGCCATCAAAGGGAGGGGACGGGTGACCAAAGCGGCCCAAACACTGGGGGGAGCGCAAGGGTGGGCACCTGCAGGCCAGGTCAGCCCTGCCACCTGCAGCTCCGGTGCCCACGCTCCTGGTGGAGGACTCCAGGTGTCCTCGGGGGCGGGGCCTCAGACTGATGGTCAGAGGGACACGGAGCTCAGCTTTGCTCTTGGCGCTTGAGCCAAGTGACGTCCCCTGTGAGCCTCTGTTTGCTCACCGGCCCTTGGGGGCTGTCGTGTAG